TTGTTGATGGTTGATGTATCTCGTCTCGTTTGCGGAATCGGATCCGAGGTTGCCAGCTGCATTTCCCCCAATCCGTCCGCATGGATGGAAGAGTCCTGGGATCAGATCAAAGACCAGCGGATCGTGGGACGCTTGGAATCTTTGGGCTTGAAGGAAAAAGTGTATGGCTGGTTTTGTGGGGGGTTTCCCTTTAAAACCAACCCTGAAAAAGTGTATTTTCCCTTGGGTTTCCCTAGCCAACCCTCCTGGCGTCGGGTTCTTTGGAAATGGAAGTTGCGGGCCCCCTTTTCTTTTTTTTCGCGGGCCTGTGTTCAGAAGGATGGGTCCAAGTTGACGAACCTCCACAATCACAACGACGCCTGTCCATTTGAGAAAAGCCCGGAAAATTCTACAAATAACCTGGGAATGAGGCGTGTGGGTTTGGTTGGATTAGAGGCCGGGCTTGCGCGTAGGCGGTGCAGTCCGCCTGCGCTAGCCGCAAACATTGCTTTGCGCAGCTGTGCAGCCAACTTGGTGACACAGGGTACGGTTTGACAAAGCGGGTGGCCCGCTTTGACCTGCTCTCAGGCTGGAAGCTCCATAGTGTGGCAAATTGCGTAGTTCAGGACAAAGCTGCGCCGGCCCTCGTGCACCCGCGGCTGAAAAGTGACCGGGTCAGCGTAGTGCTCTTCGACTTTGAGTCACGGTGGACACGGTTGAGTCAAGACTGCAATTTTGCTGCCCGCTTGTTCCACAACGCAGTGTCTACCCAGGCCCCGATCCCTTTGCGTAGTGTTGACTCGCCAATCAAGCACGCAGCTGCCGACGCCTTTGCCGACCAAGGTGTTGCGGGAATCGGCGGCTGGTGGCTGCCCCCTGATAAAAATCTTGCTCCTGAAAACATTTTCTGGTTCCGCATGACCTTGGACGCGAGCACGTTACCGGCTTGGTTTCGCCACCCCAACTCAAGCGACCTGCAGAGCTGCATTGCTTCGCTGGAGGCTTTGGCGCAGTTGCGGGCTAGGCCTCACTGCGGCTCAGGGCGTCCGCCCAGACATTTCTTTCCCCCGCAATGTGAGAAATGTCAAGTGTTAGCCCCAAGTGGCATCACCAAAACCCTAGGGCCTGAAGAATGAAGCACAGCGGCTGTTTCTGCGAGAGCATTTTTGCCGATGCGGCCATAACGCCCTGGTTGTCGCACAATTGGCTGACGCGCACATGCGCGCAGCTTCCTGTTGTGACCTTGGCCGCCTCTTGTCTGCCCCGTGGTTGTGAGGAGCACCTGTGTTGGGGCTTGGTTGGCTTGCCTGTGTGCTCCCTTAGCTGCATCGCGCAGCTTGCATTGGGGCTTTGCTTGGGGGGCTGACCTGCTGCTTTGCAGGTCCCCCCCCCGCTTGTGCGCTTGTCCATTGGAAAAGGGAGCACACGCTGCGCAGCTATGCAATGTTGTCGGGCTTGCGCGTAGGCGGCGCAGTCCGCCTGCGCTAGCCGCAAACATTGCTTTGCGCAGCTGTGCAGCCAACTTGGTGACACAGGGTAGGGTTTGACAAAGCGGGTGGCCCGCTTCGTGAACCCGCCCGCCCGCCCTGCTTGTTGACACTTTACAGCCCAAGAGCTGCAGGGGCTTTGCTTGGGGGGCTGACCTGCTGCTTTGCAGGTCCCCCCCCGCTTGTGCGCTTGTCCATTGGAAAAAGGGAGCACACGCTGCGCAGCTATGCAATGTTGTTTGCCCTTCGAACAGGGTAAATAGAATAATGTTGGACACGGAGCCAGAATCAACAGCAGATGAGAGCTAGGAGACTTCCATCCCAACTATAAGGTAACATGGTTTCGGGAAGACACGTTTGAGTGTTGATTCTGACTCTGAAGGTCACCTTTTTTTGTTGAACGAGAACACCGAAAAGCACTAAGAAACACCGCTTTGTAGAAAACCCAACTCCCTGTTTGTTTTTGTTGGGCGGGGGAGACCCGATTTTCAACGAAGTGCTGTTCGTTGGGGCGGCCGTGGGGCGCGGGCTGGCGCGCAACCGCAACCGCCGAGACCTCATGATGCCCGGGAGCCACAACTCCGGCGCCAGCAACTTGGAGCAGCAGGGCAGCTTGGCCACGTGGACTCCGAAACAGGCGGTCTGTTTTAGGGGACCCCCAGCGAACGGTGCCCGTTTTAACCCTTTTTTTTGGGAGGGGGAGGGTTCCAACCTACTAAAATTGACAAGAAAGAAAAAGTTGGAACCAACTTATTCTAACCTCTCTACTGGAGGACCTAGCGGTCCGTTTCAGGGGACTTCCGGCCTTCGCCTGTGGTGTGAAGATGTGGTTGTGAGTGGGCTACCACTTAACTTGGCGGATTCTGCTGGATCGTTTCGTTTGGCTTTTATCTTGTCAACATAGGCCATGGTTCAAAACCTATGGCTCCGTTGGGTGGATGAACATCCATTTGCCACCTTTGTTCACCAGAAATTTCCAGGGTTTTGACCAGCCAGATTGACCCTACACTGGGCTTGGTGGTGGATATGGGGTCACCATTACCTGCGTACATTGGGGCCCAGCCACGTTTTGAGCACCCAGTTCAGGGGGCTCGAAGCCTCGAAGCCGAAACTTGATGTCAACAAGTCGGCTGCGACCCAGTAGATTGGGTTGTGTTGCGCGCAGGCAAGAGAGGGGGGATCTAGCTGGCTGATTCTGTTGGATCGTTTTTTGGTTTTTCCCTGTCAACATGTGATCCGCATTTTGGAGCAAGTTGGCCCTCCAAATCTGTCCGAGTTCGATTTGGTTGGACTCCAAGCCTTTTAATTTCCATTTGGTCAAGAATGCGGTTTTTTCCCCCTGTTGGTTTTCAAGGGAATCTATCACTTCTGGAAATAGTTCAATGGAACTTCAATGGAACTTCAACTTCGGAAAAGTGACCCGCCCAAAGGCAAGCCTTTGAAGTCCTCACCTGCATTGGGAGATTCGACCTGTTCCCATGAGACCTTGGAATACCTCCATTCGCTGAAATGAATAATTGTTTTATGCTCCCCGGTTGGTTTCAAAGGGAATCGATTTCACTACTGGAAACATGTTTTTCTGTTTCCAGGGGTCGAAAAACCAAATGGAAGAATGCCTAAGCTTGAAAAGGTCTTCTGACCTTTTGACCTTTTAGCTTCCCCTTTTTGGCCCATGCTTAGTCATTGCCCCAAAAGGTGATCTGTCCAAACCGGGCAACTGAGATAGCGTTGTCCCATGAACCAGCCAGACACTTGCACTCTGTTCGTTGGTGAACCTTTCACTTGCGTCAGAAGGACCATCCGTTTTGCGGGAGCAAAAAGCTGAGAATGTGTTGGGCGAGCAATGGCCAAGGCAAGTGCATGGCGGTCTACGAGAGCATTAAGCGAAGGATCCAGGCCGATCACCTGCGTGGGGTACTTGAGTGCTTAAGGTGAGTTTCCTTTGGCGGTGATGTTTAAGAGGTACAGGGACCCCACAGATCAATTTGGTTCTGTGGTTCTGTTGGGTTCCATGCTCATGGTTTAAAGGAAAACCACAGGGAAAACTCCCGTTTTGGGTGTCCCCCAAAGAGCATCGCCGACCTGAGAGCTTGGTTTCCCTTTCTCGGAACCCAACCACCCCTGGGCTTCAGTTTATCTTAGGTGAAGCAAGTTTGAGGCTGGAAACAAGTTGGGGCCGAAGTTCCAAAGAGAGTCCCCATTTCATCAACCCTCCCGAAGATGCTGTCAGATGCATGAACTTTGGAGGTGTGCCCGCAGCAACTATGCTGTCTAAACCAGTGTGACCAACCTATAGGACCCATATGGGGGTAAGGATTTCTACATTGTAAGACCACCTATATAAGATATGTGTTGGGGCACGAACCACAGCTAGGGACGCGCAGTTGTGTTGTTTCTCGAGTCAATGTTGGGCAAATCCAATCGCCAGTCGCGTTCTCCAGGAGGAGGCTCCGGACAACCTGAAGTCATTGATCACTGACGGATTGCCTCGTGGCCTTCTTTCATGAACCAAGGGGAGCTACGGATGAGGTGTCTGCCATGTTGCAAGCAACAAGCAAGGTGATCTTCAAAAGGACCCGAAGGAACACCAACCGTTTGCAGGCGATGTCTGGCGGTCGTTTTTGTTGGTCCCATGTTTGACCACCCCAAGTAACACGAGCGATGCAAATTGCCGAAGTAAAGCGCACAAGATGAGGGGGATGGGCTGATGTGGCTGCTGCTGATGTCAATGATTGGGCCCGAAGTTCCGGCAATGTCCGGCCTTGATAAAATGTGATTCACAGGCGTCCTCCAAAGTTCTAGGTCCCCCAGTAGTGCCCTTTGACCCTTTTTTGGGGTTTTGGGTTCCCCTACTAAAATAGACTACAGTAAAAAAATGGGCACCAACTTCTTCTAACCTCTCTACTCGAGGACCTAGCGGTCCGGTTCTGGGGGCTGAGCGTGTGAAGGTTGGAAGCCTATTGGAAGCCCTGGAATGAGAACCAGAAGCTGAGCATCTCTGAGCAGCTCGAGCAGGGCGTCAGGTGGTTTCACCTGCGCCTCGGAAAGGAGAAAGGCTCCCCGACTTTTTTGGGGGAGAGGTGGCAGAGTTCTCCGGAAGACCCAAGGGAGTTGTTGCAGTTTAAGGCCGAACCGACTCAAAACTGACATCTTTTGAGCTTTGCTTCGATGATTTGTGCTTGGCTGCCCAGAATTCATGCTTCGACTGTAAAAGCCTGGCTTCTGAACTGGCGGGGGATGGGCTCGCAAGGTGCTTTCCTCTTGTGGAAAGGACTTTGGTCGCAGGGGCAACTTTGAAGCTTAAGCCAAACGCCTCGCAATGTGCAAAGCGAAGCGAAGTTCTGTGTGTCAAAGCCCCGGTGCGTTTTGGGGCAGTACCCTGGGATGGCAACGATGGGTCAACGCGCAACATCTTTAGCTTTGCCCTTTGCCACCTTCGCAAAGATGCCGGATCAGAGTTAAAACCTAAGGGTCAAGGGTCAACTTGATAGTAACTCATAGAAGTCCTTCAGATCCTTGTTTAGAGCTTGAGCAATGATGAGGTCAGTCAAGACCAAAGAACCAACGTGATCCAAACGATTCGCGTCGCGAGGAAGGTGTGCAACTTCGTGGGCGAGAACTCCCGCTTTGGGCCCTTCAACCTGTCGGAGGTGTACCCTGCGCATGGAGGCGCCTCAGATGCCCAGAATTCCCCCCCCCCCCCCCCCCCCGTTTTGCTTTTTTGATCTTTTTTGGGTTCCCTTTGTTTTCCACGGGCAAAAACAAGGTCTCATGTTTTCCGCTGGGGTCCGATTTTTCCAGCCTAGAGATGTCCTGATTTTTTCCCCGGACATGGGCAAGGGGGGTTGTTTTGGATTGGTTTGGATTTGGAGATTGGAAGCCCTGGCTCTTGAGCGTAAATTCGCAAAGCCCTTAAGCTCTACACCAGCGCAGCTTGAAGCACGAAAGGTAAAAAAAGCCAAAGTAGAGTTTCCATGACCCTTTCCCAGATGGGGTATGTACCAAAAATGGGGGTTCCTGGCCCTCTTGTTGGCCTTTCAGGGGTAAATGGAGACTCCGGGAAGTTGTTTTTTGAAGGGCTTGTTATGGGGGAAGAATGGTTTCTCTCAGCCAGTCACACCTGGCTTCTGGTCAGGTGAATTCAGCCATCAAAACCGCTTCGGGTGGATGAAGCTTAGAATTTGGAAACGGTTTGCCAGAAATGTGCGCAGCTTCCCGCCTGATGGTTCGAATCTTGGTGGCTCCCAGCCATCCGGTTCCTTAGTTGTTTAGATCCTTTTCGTGTTTAGTGGTAGTTTCTATTTTTAACCCACTAAAAGTTCGTCACTTTTAGCGGGGGATTTGAGGGCCCAGGAATCGTTTCACCCTTTGGGCGAATGTCGAAAGCTCCCCAGTGACTAGCAAACACGCTTTGTACGGGGTCAGTTGGACCAAACGTTGGGTTGGGCCGTTCGTCTGTGGGACACGGACGCCAAACTGAGCGTTTGGCCGAGTTTTCCTGCGGAGGTGAGTCACCTAGGTCACATGCGGGAGTCCTCTAGATATCCGCAAGGACGCGAGTGGTCGTGAGTTTCCATGCCTGAAATGAGTGCGGCTCTCCTTTTTTCGAGGCGCTTGAAGGTAGTTGCAGGGGGGCGCTTCCTGCTTAAGCTCGGACCTGAAGCCACCGATATGTGGAACCAACCAAAAGTGGTTTGACCGACATCCCCACCGAAATGATATCCACAGGCTCCCACATTGAAGTCTTGTTCTGGTTTTTCGGTGTCCTTTTACGCTAGACGATCGGCCAGCCACGGACTTTGGGTGGACAAATCCCTTGAGTCAGCTGCAAACCAGGGTTCCCACTCGCGTTGCTTGCGTTGGCTTGGGACCGGCATGGATTGGAAACCCACCCATGGCTGAGGGCAGCTCCCTATGCGACCCCCTTCTGTTGAAGCTGAGTCGAGGTCGTTTTGTTTGAGGCCCGATGGCTTGAACCCAGGTTTCACCTCTGTGACTCTGGAATCCATCCTCTTGGACATCCTCAGCTTTCTCAATACGTGGCTTGGAACATGAAAGCGACCAGTTGAGTTGGAAGGTGTGATATGGTTATGTGTGAAATGAATTTTGGCAGAGGATAGGTTTCATGTTGGTTCGTTTGCTACAGCGAATCCACAAGCACCCCTAGTTTCAGACGATAGCAAGTGGCGTATTTTCTAGAAATTCAACTTGGTTACCTGGTTATCAGTCAACGTTGTGCCAAGCATGTCAAGACAGTCCTCGAATCTGATGCATGTCCAGTTCGTGAAAGTTGTCATGGAATGCTAGCCTGGTGGCCAGTGCAAGCGGCAGACATGGTTGTCGTTGGGAAACATTTTGCATTTTTGCGTGTTGTGGTTTAGTGGGAGATCCAACCACTGAACTGCTAAAATTAAGTGTTTGCTCCCCTTCAAACGTGAACCAAGCAGAGTTGTGGCAGGTATTTTTGTTTGCGTTGGCCAAAGATGTCCCTTAAGCGACAAAAACAAGACATACGGCAGGCAGGGGGAATTTCCCCCAAAAAGAAGGAGTGACAACCCAGGATGGTGCCAAGCTCGGCGAATGGGATTGCTGTGCCCAAAATTCGAAGGTTCCCTGATTTTTCCACAGAGGTCATGAATCCATGGCTCAAAATTATCACGGCACACGGATTCCAACTTTCAAAATGACCCAAAAAGAGAAACAGAAGCAGAACACTAACATAAAGCCAACCGGGATTGAACCATTTTATTCAACCAGACCAACCACTCAAACCACAAACCGCTTGGGCACCGGGGAATTGAGAACCCGTGAGGAACCCCAAGGAGGTCGCCGTGCTGGGCCTCAACGACCTCTTTGAGATTGAGAACCTCACCAGGCGATTGAGAAACTCCGCGAGCTTCACTGATCCAGGCTTTGACGACTGGAGCCCAAAAAGTGAGCTCCCCAAAATGTAATCATGTTACAACTGGAACCCAAAAACAAAGTTCACCGACTGGAACCCAAAAAGATTCCCGTAATCATGTTACTGGCATAGTACTGCTGAAAATGAGGCCCCCAGCATAGGCATCAGAGCCTTCATTGTCCCACCAGCTTAGCACCGAAGCGTGGTGAATTTGTTTTTTGGAGAGATCATGACACCATGACACCATGATGCAATTGGGGCACGGCACTGAAATGAGTGAGTCCACTCTGCCCAGTTGGTTAACTGTTGTTTTTGAGTCGACCTTTGATTGGGCCTGGCCCCCGTTGAACCTTTTGGGAAGTCCCCTTCAAAAGAGTCGCTTGCTTGATTTGCGTTTATTTGTTGTACCAAAAAGTGGGAACTCCTTGAAAAGAGGCGGTTTTGCATGACTGTTTCGTTCTATTTGTTCCTGTTCGACGAAGTTTGTTGAAGGCTCCGAGTAAAAGCGGCGCCCAGTTTCGGCGCGGCCGTCGCGCAGCTCGTGGAGCACCAAAGCCGCGTGCAGCTGATCCGAGCAGAGGACTGGATGCAGACGCTGGAGGCGCTGCAGTCCTCCAATAGGCGCGGCGCCCAAGTAGCGGGGGGGAGGGGGGGGGTGAGGTCAAAGGGTCCGGTGAAAAAAGCACAAGCATGGGGGGAAGCCAGGGAAAATATATATATATATATATGAGATTTCGGCACATGGGAAAAGCTGCCCATGGTCCTTTGGGGGCCGAGAGTATTGATCAAGTTTACCGCTCCAGCAACCCTCAGGAACCGAATCGGGCTCGAAAGCTACCCTCCTTGTCCGTACCCCCCTCAGGGATTCCATGAATATGGCTTTGTGTTTGAGGGCACACCCAAACAGGCGAGGTGGTGTTCAAGGGAAGCCGAAGGAAAGCGCGAAATCCGTGTTTGGTGTGCGCGTCTGCTTTGACACATGAAATGGGCTTCTCAAAGCTTGGGCCTCGGAACCAAACTAAGGGCTAAGGTAGCCCTTAGTTGGAGGTTTGGATGAGTGGGGTGGTTTGGATGGGTGGAGTGGTTTGGATGGGTGGAGTGGTTTGGATGGGTGGGGTGGTTTGGATTGGTGGGGTGATTTGAACCGATGGTTCTTGTAGTTCTCACCCAAAGTTGTTCTAGGCGCACTTCAGGTAACCAAGGATTTCACCGGGTACATGGTTTCTCCTCACCCGTCAGGTTGTGTTGAAGTCCAGGATGGGTCTTCTGAAAACAGTTGAATCGTGACCCCGTTGTAACGGGAGAATGTCTAAGGCCAGGAATATTACAAAGGCAACTCCCAAAGAGGATGTTGGTTTTGGCTTTGACGGAAGGAAACCTTCATTTTACTGGTGACATGTTGGCAGATGAAATGACCTCGCCGGCCTGCCATTGTGACCTGGGACATGAAGACTCTTCCGCTATTTTGGGTTGGTGGATTATTCTGATTCGCAAAGGTCTTTGGTTGCACATGGTGATGAGTTGCGCTGCGCGTTACGTGGGAGCAAGCAGTTGCCGTTCCGCTGACCTGCGGCAAGGCACGCTTTAGCGAGACCAAACCACTACAAACAATGCAAAATGTCAGCTCTTGGGAAGATATGTGCAACAATGCTGACACAGGAAGCCGTTCCGGGGTCATAGGAACCATGCCCATGTTTCTTGTATGCTAGTTCTGTGTGCCCAGTAGCTGTTTGTCGTTTCTTCAATGACAATGAATTGTGTTTTTGAAGGTGCCCCGCTCAAAGAAGCATCGTGAAGGCGGAACCACTGCCACATGGCCAGAGGGTTCAGTTCTTGTTGATTCATCAAACGGAGAAGACACTGCGCCCCTGAACCTCCAAACCAGCAATCCAAACCAGCAAGGAGGGATAAGCTGAAGTATGCATCACAGGATCAAAAAGGGCGAGTTGCTGAATGTTCGCTTTAGTAGCTGTTTTACTAGACTCAAAGTGCTGCATGCTTTAGCTTATCCCTCATTGGGCCGGAGCGGCTTAGAGCTGGGGGCATCTTCCAAGCCGAAAGCTGAAGAGGCGCTTGGCGGTCTTCCTGAAGGACAATTCCACCGAGGGGATTCTTCCCTCCGCTGCTTGCCAAGCAAGAAACACTTGGGGGGGGGTGTGGGCGGGGTGGGGTGGGGTCAGGTGGGGTGAAGTGGGGTGGGATGGGGAGGGGTGGGGCGGGGCGGGGCGGCGCGGTTTGACCTTCAATCCTGGGCAGCCGTTTGCAGGCTTCTCAAACTTCAATGGAAGCATGCCAACGTTTGCCCCAGCCAAAAGGAATGAAGGGGGTTTGTCATTGTCCTTTCTCCAAAATGTTGTAAGGATTCCCAATGAGGGCACCCTGTCTGCCAGTAACGCGAGGGCCAATCGCTTGCAAGTCATGCGACAGCTCGGCATGCGACGGAGTTTGGCTCGACCAGTCAAAGAGAGTTCAAATACATCCCGGCTGAGAAAGCTGACTAACTGGCAAGGGGTTATGTGCATGGCCATTTGCCACACTAAGCCAAAGGTGTCCAAGCAGGCAGGAAACCGATTTGGCGGAAGTTTGGCTGGGCCATGTCCTGAGGCTGCTTTGCCCGTTCTCCAATGCATGGATGGTCCTTTGTTTTTGCGGCTTCCTTGTAAAAAGGGAATAAAGACGACGACGAGCGGCAAAGGGAAGTTGCTTCCATGCGGAGTTTGGCCTGCATTGGTGTGAGCAATTTGTCTATCTGAGAGGAGCCGTTGACTCCATAAGGACCAGTACCTGGTCGAGAATTGGAATGATGAGATCATGGCGCAACTCGGCAAAGGGGCCGCCCATGAGTGTGGGTATGCTTCTACTTAGAATAGCTGGATGTTACCTAAACTCTAAATAGCCCTGGTTATAAGGGACTTACCATGGCTTTGGTGGGTTCTAGCCAGGGCAAATAGCCAATTACAAAACCATCCAAGTAGGGATTCTAAAGGTCAGACACTGACCTGACGCGCGGCGTCTGAAGGGCTTTCATCCTTAGGAGCGACGACTTTGAGCGCATCAAGTCCTGGCTGGAGCAGGAGCGAGCGTTCTTCTTCCAGCTGGGTCCCAGCTTCACAGTGGGCTCATTGGAACCCACCAGGAGATTCCAGCTTAAGCTGCGACCCCTGCTGCATTTTTACGTCGCATCTCTGCAGAAGATTTCAGAGGGAGAAGGGAAGGCACCATGCCTTCCGAACATGCGAAGAATCCGTGCGTGACGTTCAACGCTTGAAGCCTGGGGCTTCATCACAGGAATGATATCAGCATTTGTGTGTATAGTTCGTAATATGCGTTGTCTTCTTCTTCCTCGTTTTCTCATTATTCTTCTTCGTCTTCTTCTTCTTCTTCTTCTTCTTCTGCTTCTTCTTCCGCTCAGGTGAGAAGCATGTCGCATGTGTCGTGTTTGGTTTGCGTTCCGAGTCTCATGGCACTGGCTGCCCTCTTCAAGTGTTGCAACTAAGGGAACAATCGGAAACCATCTACTCTCCACATGGAACCTGACTGAGTCCTGGACTACTTTCCTTTGCAAGGGAAGTCTTGTGGGTCTTTTTCTTCTTCGTCTTCTCCTCAGGCCACCGCTTGTTTGAAGCAAGGGAAGCTCCATTCGCAGCACGAAACTGGCCCAAGCCAGCCGGCGTGTTGGTTGATGTTTAACGGCAGCGAGTCGGCTGGGGTGTGGGTTCCGGACTTTTGGTTTGCCGGCGTTTCCAAGCCCTTTTTCCTTGACCCGGCTTGCTTCAGGGGATTCCTTCACTCTTCTTTGGAGAAATAATCCGAGTCGCGGACTTCGCGTGCAGGATGCTACGCAGCACGCGGCGCTGCCGCGGCAAAAGTTCTACGCCTTCTCGGCTCATCCGCCTCTTAGACTCAGAAGCTGGGTGTATCCTATCACGCGGCTGACTTTGATTGGCTGCCATGCATCCGCAAATTATATCAAGTCAAATGATGTAGTGACAGTGTTGCACAGTCCCCGGCTGAGACGTCGTTGCCAAGAGCTGCTCGTTGACAAATATGATCTTGACTCTTGTTGACCTCGTTGCAGGTGGAGTCTGGGTATGTTTGGGTTGGTGTGGTGCTAGCCGAATGGTCCAAGTCTTTGCTTTAGATAGGGCTTTTGGTGGTCGTGATCAGGTCATGTGTGTATCCACTTGAGAAACTCAGATACTCGAGGGAGTTGGGTGAGTGAGAGTGGGACGCGGTACATGGTTGAGGCGAGTTGATGTTCTGGAGGACCACCGAAGTATACAGAAACTCGATTGCTTCGCTGATAGTTGTTGGCGCTTGGATCGCTGTCGCAAGAATTATGATGTGCATGCTGTTGTGCCTCCTCAGAGCTCATTCAGACCGAACCGACACAGGCAAATGAGCTGTGGTGACATTGGAATGCTTGATGGCCTTTTCCAGACACGGACTTGCTTTCAAAGGGCACGCCAAAAAAAAAAAAGAGAAGCAGAGACCGACTCAAAACACTGCCTGCCGCCGCGCATGTTCGGTGTCTGGCGCCATGTCCGCACCTCTCATGTTCTTCGCCATGCTGGCGCTAGGCGGTGCCGATCGCGAAGATGTGTCAGTGCTGCAGACGAAGTGCGGCGGAATGTCAGAACCGCGTGAAGAGGAAGCTTTGGAGCAAATACTGGGCAGTTTGGCATCCCTGACATCACAGAATAAACAAAGCTGGTGATGGAAATTTCCACAGCTCCCTGGGCTTGTCCATGGGCCACGCTCAGTTTTTGAGAACTGGTCGCACGAACGCTAAAAGACCCACGGGTGAACCGATCGATGACAAACCAACGTGTTCCCGGGCACCAGCGGGCGATGAATTCACAACTTCGGAATGGCCAAGAAACACATTGACTGCCGTGTCGTTTTGTTAGACGTAGGAGGTTCTGCAAGAAATTGCTGTTTAGTAAGGCATGTAAGGTGCGTAAAGATGGTTTGATGATTTGCAATGAACATAGTAGCTTAATGATGTGTCGTGCCAAGTTTCGTTGGACATGTTAGAATGTCAGCATACAGCACGGGCATCCTCGATGTGTTGTTTGAGTGTTTTCGATTGGGTCTTCATGCTCCATGTCAGGATTTGGTGATTGTGACGGTCCTCAGCAAGTCGATCACTGACGTCCATATGAACACTCCGGAGATCGGGGATTTGCACAAGGTAACCCACAGCGTCAGCCAGATGAGCTATCATGATCTCTTTCGGAACTGGTATTCCTTTTTGCCCGCCCATGCCAAGAAGAAGCTGCAAGTCTTGTGTGTGGATGAGGACTGCAGACGAGGTCTCCAGTGTTCATAGGATGGTTCTATCAGACCCCCGCCCCATGCTGTTGGTTTTGTTTGCCTTTTGGTCAAGGCCAACCTTCGAGTGTAATGCTGAGGCTTTGTGGCCGTAGGAGTCAGTGAGCTTCGTGAAGGAGACGGATCCATCCATTCAGACGGTCTTCCGAAGGCTGGAGGGGTCGAAAGGGAAGATGCCTGCTCGGATGGAGATGATTTGGAAGCTCTTGCGACAGGGGAAGACGGTGTTGCAATCGGATGTGGATGCCGTTTGGTTGAAAGATCCCTTGCCGTACCTCCTGAAGACGTCGGAGCAGATCGTTGCCATGCGTGAGTTTACCTCTTGGCACGAGCCCAACGCAGGTTTCATGCTCTTCCGGCCTGCGGTGGAACGCTTCATGGAGCAGTGGACCAAGTTGGTGGAGGAGGAAAAAGGAACATCCGCGGAGGGAAGGGACAACCCTCCGTTGTTGAGGATGTTCCAGGAGGCCTCGTGGGCGCAGGATTTGGAAGATACCTCCTCGATGGGCCTTCTTTGGAATACCACGCTGCGGTTGTTGCCAATACATTGGTTCCCACGCCTGAGAGTAGGGGACCGGCTTTGTACTAAGCCTCATGTCCTACGGTCACAGGAGGAGTTTCAGAAGGAACTACCTTGCATTGACGACAGCATCATCGTGCTACACAACAAGGGGGAGATCTACAGGAGCAAGAAGGAGCAAAATGGGCAGCTGTGGCACTTGTGAGCATGCAATTCCTTCCTTGGCAGCTAGAGGCACCTGATCCTGAGGGGAATTCAAGAAGATGCTGCAAAAAAAACTAAGCAGCTCTAAGAAACATTTGTAGAACACCTTTTGGCATGGCGCAAAATATTCAAGCCCCACAAATCTTCCGCAGAATTAGCTCCCCTGTTTGATGTTTTTGCTTTTTTGGGGTCCCTTTGTTTTCCACGAACCAGGCAAAAAAAGATCTCATTTTTTTGCTGGGGTCCTAATTCCAGCCTAGAAATGGCGATCTCTTTGGCTGGTAAACTAGCGCCTCGGATCAAGCAGAGCTGAGACTTCGGCATGCATTCGTTGCGGAAGAAAAAAAACTGGGTCAAAATTCGACCACCAGGAATTGGACTGCAGCTTGTCCCTGGTTCCGTTTTTACCAGGGCAAGCCATTTTGGGGTTACCCGATTTTTGAGCCACAGCCCTGTGCTTGGTTCCTTGGTCTCGTGAATGGGGGGGCTTCATGTGACGACCTCTTTGAAGAAGGAGGAGTCGGTTGGACAAATGGGATGGGGAAACTATGTGAATTCCGGCGGAAGTCTCGAGTGTTCGGCTTATTGGCTGTGGCAGTTCGGCTGTGAATGGCCAACTGAGATCAAGACAAATTTGATGCAACCAGAGGGTTTCACGTGCAACCTATCTCATTGAGCTTTTTTTGGGCTGCTCCATGTCTCACCCCGAACTCGAACGATTCTGGTCTTGGCACTGTTTCGGAAGACTTGTGTTAAGTTCTGGCCTGTTGGCGTTTTCCGACTTTCTACTTAAATCAGGACCTCAAAGGGTTAAGCTTTTCTGTCCTCATTTGGGCAGGTGAGCCTGTTGCACGCAAGAAGTTCCCTTGGACCGCCAGAACCCACCGACGAACGGGACCAAGTGAGTCACTTGGACATGCTCCACAGCACTGACGTCCAAGGGTTGGAATCCCTAAATGGGTGCCTGAAAGTAGGGAAACCACACAAACAGTTGGTTGCCAGATGGTTTCCCTAGAAAGCCTCTCCAAAAGGAGTATCCTCAAAAAGATATGTGTTTCCACATGGTGGATGTTATTCCTTCACGCAAGAGGTGACCTTTGGACCATGCTCCCGTCCATGCGCTCCGGATCTATTGGTAAGTTTCCTAGGTGATGGAACCTGTCAGAATTGACATACGTCTTATCAGGTATCAACTCAATAGAACCCTTAGGGTCATGTATCAGTACGGGTGCAGTTTAAGATGTAGTGCCATGAACTGAGAACACACACTGCTGGCCGCAGCGCAATTGAACAAACATCTCGCATAGACATGTCTCAACCCGGACGAAGCATCGATTCATGAAGGCAGTCGAAGTTGGTAAGTCACGAGGATTGACAACGATGGGTGGATCAAGCTCTTCATCGGTGATTCTCATGTGAGTGGTGTTGGAAAAGCCCACTCGCCATCAAGCAGCTTTCTAAGAACCACTTGTTTATGGTGATATACAGAAACTTGAGTTAGTTGAAATCTGTTTCCCTTCCACCCACCGACATAGAAGTGGCCAGATTTGCGAACACAACTCCATGGGGCCAATCGTGTTGCTCTCACAATCAGTGGATGGGACAAGTCCAAACCACTAGTCCCAGTGAAACCAAACACGGCTGAATCGCAAAGCCCCGCAAAAGCACCTTGAAGCCTTCGAACCTGTGACCCCAGTGAAAGTGTTCAATGACCGACCCTCTCACCCCATCCTTTCGGTGACGTCACCCTCTGGACCTCACGACCTCCGCCGGCCCCCAGCCGAGTCGGAACCGAGTCGGAACCGAGTCCCGAGTCGCCGAGGAGCAAGAACCCCAGCAGGACCACGGCCCAGCTGCTGAGTCAGGGCTCCGAGCCCATGCTGAAGTTCCAGCGCCTCGCTTCGGGTTCCAGTGGATCACTTTTGGGGGGGGGGGGGGGGTTGGACCATTTTAGCGGCAAATGGAAAAAGTTGGCTTTTCATGATGGCTCCCTCCCCTTTGCTGTTTTGTTTAGCTTTTTTTAGTGGGGGTATTTCCATTTAACTCACTAAAAGTTGAACTTTTAGCGGGGAATCTGAGGGCAGCACGGGTATCTCACTTTCATGTTCGATTGGGTTTTATGGTTGATTGGTTTGAGTTCCTGCTAAGTATGGGTGCGGGTGTGTGGGTGTTTTGGTTTGTTTGGGAAGAAATCTGCGGTTGTCCTTTTCGTTTTCCAAAGGGCGGAATAGGAAAACTCGCTTCCTGAGTGGGTTTTAGTCACTTGTTGGGGTTGGACCATAGTGGTAAATACAACGTGTCTGGACTTTTTCTCACCAATTGACTCGGGAAGTGGGGCTTGTGTGTGTGTGTGTGTGTTTTGTTTGCGCACAAATGTTTGCGCACAAAACATGTGCGGTGTTCCCTTTTGGTGCCCCTGAGGAAAAGCAAGTTCCCTCACAGACGGATCCATGTGGGTATGTGTCAAAATACAGGAACACCCAGGATTCGAAATGGCCCCCCCCAGTCCACCTGGATCAAAGTGATTGGCATTTTCTGATTTTCAGTTCCCTGAGACTTCACGTGGTCAGATTTTCGGAATCGAAATCCACGTGGCCCTTCCAATCCTCCTGTTGGGGCCTTCCAATCCTTCTTAGCTGTTTTTCAGCTGCAGTGTTCCCTATTTAGGCCCAACCAAATCCTTTTTTCAGCTGCCACAAGCTTCCCCCGGGCGCGTTTCCGATGGAGGCGCCAGTGGTTCCAGGGCTATTTCCCCGCTTTTGCGGAGCAGCTGGTCGAGTCCAACAGGCGCGAGCCGAGCAAATCGAGGGCAGGTGATTCGGTCCGCAGGTTTAGTCCACGTGGCCATTTTCCAGGGTTGATTTCATTTTGGGGCACCTGTGTTTGACCCACACCCCAATTTGAGAGTGAAAGAGAAGCATCTTTGAAAAGCCGCATCAGGTTTTCTGAGCTATGTCCAGCTCTGCGATGCCCATCGCATAGCTTGCAGTGGAGGGGCCGTCCACCCATGGATTTAAACCACGAGGAGGAGCCCCCTTTCAGCCCGCGGGTTGCTGGTTGCTTTCTCCCAAGCGTGGTGTCCCGAGACGCTTACTTAGTGGAGCAAGGAGCCTTGCACAAAAAGGAAATGTTGCGTGACATGTTTCCTTTTTTTCAGAAAACGATTACTCTCAGCTTCAAATATGAAGATTAAAAAATGAGAAGGCTGCATTTTTCAGCAGGGAAGTATCCAATAGGCATCGTCTTTTTTAAGCGCAGGGCCTCTCGAGTTGCCGACTTTGCAAGGCACATTCTTGCGAGCTCACTTGCCATCTCAACCATCAAGGTTCCTTCGCATAGTTTTTTTACGTAGCCTGCGCCGACAGTCGATCTTGAAATCTTGGATCTGCATGTGTGCTTCCTTGTCAACCGCACTGAGAACGCCCATTTGCTGAACGCCCATTTTAATTTTAACAGGGATCTATCACTACTGGAAATACGTATGTTTATTTGTTGGGGGACTTAGGCAAATGGAGGAGAGGATTGCGGACCATGCTCAAATTCTTGAGCAGCCTCCAACATGCAGCCGTTTGCCGTTGCAGCTCACCAGCCATCTGCAGAGTCACTGTGCAATCGTGAAGTTGGAGAACTTCCACGGAGAACCCCCCAAAGTTGGCCATGTGTGTAGCGAAGCCCCTCAATTTTGTACCGGGATATGAGGGCGCTGTACGTTCACCTCAGAGCGTGTAAGACCAGTTGCGGGGCGGGCCGCGACGGTTCCTTTGGGAGTCCTTATTCTATTTCTCCAACAATTCAACTCGAGCAGCTGGCCATTGTCAAGAATCGTGCAACCAGCGACAATTTTGGAGAGGGAGAACCCAATGGTGATCCTTCGACCGCAAAACGAGCCGAGCGAGCAGGTCTTTGGTCTTGAACGGCATCAGTACAGATTTTGTCGAGGAGAGCGGCGCCTTTATGCTGGCCATGCGCCTGCAAAACTTCTGCGCTTCTCGGCTCTGGACGGGAGGCCTTTTGGCTCCCTCGGTGTTGGGGATCAAAGGCAAATCAAGGGCTCGAAACTATGCAGGGAAAACTACAGGGGTTGCATTTCGACTGGGTGCATGCCATGCTGAACCCCCCAACGGGTGGACATTTTTCCGTTGGTCGGAATGGCGTATCAAGGCGCACCGGTCCATTCCACCCCCGAATGTAAGGGTGTATTGGGCACTGGTCCCAAACCGAACAAGCGGGGACCCGGGCTTCCATTCAGGATGTTGGGTATGATCCCAGGGTTTCGGTTTTCTTTGGAGCTGTCTTACTTGCAACAGACATGTGGAGGTGATGAAAGCATAGGATGTTAGAAGCATGTTGGGAGAGGGAGTGGTGTTCCTTGGCAGTCTAGTAACCGCAAAGACAGGGCTGTTTGATTGGCCCTTCAACCTTGAACTGTCCAAAAATCAGGAGTGTGTGCCGCCCACCCTGCAAAGGTCCCACTTGTTCCAGGGGAAACAGTTGCCAAGCAGAGGTTTGTCTTAGCTGACAAGTTGCAAGGCAGTTGGGTCAGTCCGGAAGCTTCCATCAGGGCACGAGCACCACCACTACCGCGACCGCCACAGCCACCACCATCACGGCCACTTCCATCACCGTCACCACATCCAACGCCAGGGACCTCAGGGCGACGGGCCCAACTTCCCATTTGCTGAAATGAATATGTATATGTATATATATATGTATATATCTACCTGGGGCCGGGTTGTCCCTCACTGTTGTGTTTGGCCTCTTCTTTTTTTTGGATTCAAATACGCCCCTTTCGTGAAAATAGGCCCAGGTGCACATATATATATATATATATATGCCCCCGGTTGGTTGCAAAGGGGATGTGTCACCACCGGAAATATGGTTTCGTTTCTTTTTTTTCTAGGGAGCTTAAGCAAATGGAGGTAAAACTTAGGTAAAGAGTTGAAAGGGCTTCCTAGTGGTTAGGGCTTTTCCCTAACCAGCACTTACCAAGGTTGTGATTGTCGGCTCAGTTCAGCCTGCTCCGTTGGCCAAGCCTGGCATCATTGTACATTGTACCAGGGTTTGCCGGGAAATGTGTTTTGAGAGAAACCGTGGTTGGGGGTTAGGACCCCATGGACGAGATACCCCTACCAAGAGCGCCAAAATCTGGGCTGTTGAAAGTTGCAATGTGCAAGATCCTTCCCTTGCACGGAACAGAAAAGAGGTTCCGCTTTGTAGTCATACGAAGATAGAAAATTCAGATTGGCCAATGCAGCTTGATCATCCCAGGATAGAAAATCCATGAGATTTCACTGGGCCATGGAGTCCACTCGCCATCGTTGCTATCGGCAGACTCAGCGGGCCGCGCCGGTTGCCCCCGACCGGACGTCCCACTTGGCGAATGTCATTTTTTGTTTGGTGGTTGCCTCAATGGTCATCCCCATGCAAAGGACCTGGTGATCAACCCCCCATCTCCATTTCAACTGGCCTCGATGTTTTCAACAAAACAGGGGGTGAGACTTCTCAAATGAACCAGTAGTTCTATTGTCCTTTCAAATAAAAGCTTCCTGCTGAACAGCTTGCGGACCATCGATTAGCAGGTCGAGCATGCTATCAGTGTGACTGAAGCAGGTTGTCCGTTCACATGTGGCTATGAGGTTTGGACGTTGAAGCACCCTCCAAAAGTGGTTGGTGGACAGATTCCCATTTCAAAGGGTCGAAGCCCAGAACCAGATTGCTTGGAAGGAGCTTCGCCTAAACGTTACGCTTGTTTCATGTTAACTGGCTGGAGATGGCTCTCCACACATTCTTCCTTCACTTCCACTCGCTTGCTCGCAAAAGCTCGCTTTGCTCAGGCCGAATCAGTCAGGCCGGAATGGGCGTTGCATTGGCACTGCGGGTTCGGTGATTCGGTTGCTAACCCTGAATTGGTGATTCGAGTCAACCGGAGCTGGTGCACTCTGATTCCTGCTTCACATGCTTGGGGCGAAAAGACTTCCTGAGATTCTGTCCCACTCAAGTGGGTCTGTCCTTTGAGTTGGCACCCCCTTTTGCGCGGTGTTAAAGGGCCTAGAGCAAACCCAGCATTTTGGGGACCCAAGTGTGTCTGCGCGAAGGTTCAGAGTGAGGCCAGCTTTGCAATCGATACAACGTGGCAGAGTGCGACTGTGAAGGTTCTGATTGAGACAACCATGACAACAGCTTGTGGCGCTTTACTATGGCACGGAAAGCTCGGAGTAAACGGGCAACTCGGGGTACTTTACAGAAGCCATTCCTCTTAGAAAGACCCTTTCTCAGGTCCGTTCTCGGCTCCCTGTTGGGGTGAAGAGATGTCTAGAAAGCCCAAATGATTGCTTCAGGGCTATTGTTCGTGCTTTGGGTGTTTCTTCACAGATGGCCCTTTACACTGTGGCAACGTGGCGGGGGCCATGTTTTGGCCACCACGTGCTTGGCTTTCCCTCCCGCCCTCCGGCCGGAGCGCCTGCCCGCGCGCAGGCCAGTCTTTCAGGCCAATCTTTCAGGAGCCGGGCGGCATTGGCCAATGCTGAGCCTCTTCCTGCTGTGTCAGAGCTTGCCCATCTGAGCAGCACCCCAACCCCATGAAACATGTTCATGTTTGAGCTAGCTACGTGGCTTCTACGCGAGCAAAAGAGTAAGGCGAGATGTTGCCATCATTGCGATGTTGGTCAAGTGGTGTTTAAGTTTGAGCGCAGCTCATCTAATGTTGAAGATTTTGACATGGTTCCTGGTCAATGGAAAAAATGAGAAGAAGAAAAGAAAGGAAGAAGAACAAAACATCCTTCGAATCAAAATGTCGCACCCCTGTTTTTGAGGAAGAATTGTGTTGAGCGGACAACAATTGGGATTTGGGTGCTTTACCCTACCTAGAGCCTCCATGACCTGTAAAACACGGGGTCATGATCCCTTTCTTTTGGGTACTGAGCCCATTTCGTTGCAGGGGTTCTCCAGGAGATTTTTGACGGATGAGCCTTCTTAGCATGGCTCAATCCCGGCTTAACCTCACGCTGCCGCCGCAAAGGGGCGGGGCCAATCTGTCGATATTCAGAATGATGTGTGATACCCATGAGTTTGCAGTTCAAAAGGCAGCTTAGCAGCAATGGTTGTGTGTGTGACCCATCAGTTTATATTTCAAAAGGCAGCTTTGCAGCTACCGGAAACCCGGATCAGCGCTTGCCAGGATCCAAGGCTCGCATTGTTTGCCGTTTTTCCTGTCTCGAACCAGCTGCCAAGCAGCGGCCAGAGGCGAAGTGGCGAATAAGCGGGATGGACGCTTGGTGAAAGATGGGGTGCAGCCATCGCGGTGGGGGAAAAAAAAACTGTTTGAGAAAGTGTCAAATCTTGAGCCAGTCAGTCAGTCGGTTGGCAGATGCGTGGTCAGCTGAAGAATAGTGAGGACAAGTGACACACCTCGAAGCCTGGCCGCAATGGCAGTTTTCGCTCGTTTGTTGCTGGGAAGGCCTGAGTCAGACTCCCTTTGTTCAATCGCTTCTATCAATCCATTTGGCTCATCCTGCTCCCCTTTCGGAGGGTCCGAGGCTAAATAGTAAGCAACCATGCTAACCCATCAAAGCCATGGTGTAATTAACCAGGGTTACTGACCATTTAGCCAAATGCCAGAGCGTATAAGTGTGAGCGCATCTGTCGTTTCTTGCCAGGACGTCGTGATGAGCGATGTATATGTATATAGAGGATTTGTCCCGGATTTCTCGGTGTCCCCTTCAGTTATCACGAAAATGTTTTGGTAAACCATGTTCCAGCTATGTGAACTGACACCATGAGCCAAACCTTGGCTCGAAGCTTCTGGCAGTCGGGACAGCGACTGCGACCAGATGAAAACAATCTACTTCGGCCAGCCAGCCTACAGAAGCCTTTGATTTGGTAGTTCTGTTCGGACAAATGAGGACCCTTCATGGCGAATCCATGTAATGTCAAAGCTCATCACTTGATACCATGGCGCTTGCCATTCATCCGCCGGAAGCAGATGAGGCGCCACGCCAGGCAAGGGCGTTCAGATTGAATTCTCAACGTGCGCTTTGAGGTCGTCTGGCAAGGGTTCAGTTCTGGGCCCTTTTTGTCTGGATGCGTTTCGTTTTGGTGCAGTTTCTACAGGTTGTCCCTGGTTGGGTAGGAGTGGTTATTGTAGTTCGCTTGTTTCCCCTTGCATGCTGCTTCTGGCTCATGTGCGTTGCTTGTGTTCGTCATTATTGCTTTGCTCATTCATTCCCCTTCAGCTCGACTAATGTAGGCATGGATCGAAACAGCCCCCTCTCGTCTCTGGTTTTGACACCATCTGGCAGCTGGCCAGCTTCACTCCCGGAGTTCACCGCAAATCGCGGTCCTTCCCATGCCCAAACAGGGCCCAATCTGTTGTCGGGGTAAGGATGGGGGGGCAAGCGGTCCCTAAAATCCCCCATGGCACAACTTGACACCCCGGCTCCCCGAACCGGCGACCCCGCGGGACCAATTTCGGGGACGCCCCCAGACACGGCGCTGCTCGGCGCTGAGCGCGGCGCTGGGCGCGGGGCTGGGGCTGCTGGCGGCCAAGCAGCTGGGCTTCCAGGCCAAGGCGCAAAAACGCGGCGCCGGGCGCGCGGACGCGCGCTTGGGCCGCGGCGCTTGGGCCTTGGTGGTTTTGGTCGAAGAATAGTGGTTGCTGGGTTGTTGGTTGTTTTAATTGTGGTTGTTGGTTGTTTTGGCGATCCCTGGTTTACCTGGTGGGTTCATCTACCAGGGAAACCCATCTATCTCCCCGAAAAGGACGCCTATGCTCCCAGCGAATCATCTCGGGTTGCTGGGCAAATCCAACCACAAACCAGAAGTTTCTGGGCGGCTCAACAAGCGACTCGGGTTCCTCAGGCTCAACTTGGGTTTTTGTGGGGGTGTGGTTTTCTTGGTGGGGTTGAACTTCCGTATTGAACACCCACGAAACGTTGAAAACTTTTGGCAGAGGATAGAGGACAGCCCAGATTTGTGGACCTGGAAAATACTGCGAGTCAGTGAATCGGTGAGCCCGCAAAAGTTGGTGTCTTAAGATTGAAGCCACAAAAAATTGTGCTGAATTCGAGCGTAAGTCTCTGGATGTCCGAAGCCGCAAAGCTTGGTGGGTTCCAACAAAGGTCTAGGAAGCTGCATGGGCCTTCGGTGCCATGACCGGAGCCAGCCTCTTTCAATCTTGGGACAACTCCCGTTTTGGTGGAAGGTCGAGCGATTTTCTCTCGAATCGGGCCAAACAGATTGGGCAAGAATCCTTGTTTGTTTGACAAGGATTGAGGGGGCCTATACCAAATGTCCTGAGCTTTCAAAAACCGTCAGTGACCTTTGCTATGGGAAAGATTCCCTCAAGATTGGGAGAGGCCCCAGGACCCTCCATCGAAAGTGGGGGGAATTGTACGGGAACCTGTCAAGACAGGGGCTGGCTCTCGCTCTAGGAGTATTTTTCTATCGGGGTGGGGAGGTTCCTATCAAAAGACGAAAGTATGACCCCGGGTTGAAGCCTAGAACAAAGCAAGGAACACGGATTGATTGGCGATTTCATGGCTGGCGGGCTCAAATTTGACGCGCCCGATGAAATCCCAAATGAGGGTAAACGAAAAGACAATGTGATTTCAAGAGCCGCCGGGCTCTTGGAGACAGGAACCCGGCAACAAAAACCGAGCAAGGACAAGAATGCTGGGCAATACTCGAGTTTCAGTGTTCTTTATTACGTTCTATCGTTAGGTTTGTACTTTAGAGGTTTCTCCATGTTGAGCGCTTGAAACGTCAGCCGGATGTTAGGCAGGGAGTTTGAAGCGTCGGGAATTGAAGCGTTCAAGCTGTCGCTGGGTGCTGAGTTCTGGCTGCGCTGAAAAACGGACAGCCCTCAAGCTTGAGGTGGAATCTCCCAGGTCCTTGCAATGCCGTTGCATGAATTGCTTCCCTGAGCTTTGCGCAACTGAGTCAGCTTTACATGGAATAAGTAGATTGGTGTTGGTTTCCAGGGGATGGCTTTCCTTCCAGACCGCACATCCGAAGAGGCAGGCGTTTTCAATCCAATATCGCCGACAACACACGGCCCTTCGCTGTCAAACGTGGCGAAAGCGCGCGCCAGTTGGCTTACAATGCCGCCTTCGTTTGCGGCGCTACTGCAGGCAAGACCGGGATTGCTGAGAACCCTTTCAAGAGGATGACTGTTTAGATGAATTACTCAAGGCTGTTTGTTGAATCTCGTGGAGCGGTTTGTGTTTTTGCTCCGTGTTGTGGCCAAAGACTCCCTGAGAAGATGTACCAATATTGCAGAAGCCTGAATTCGAATTCAGTTGTAAGATACCGTTGCATTAGTTTGCGATCCACTTGAAGTGATTCATTGTTCACTGGCTTTGTCTTCTGGAAAGCAGGAGCTTCGGCGAGTGGGCCTTGCGTCGAAGCCAGAAGGAACTGAAGCCAAGATGGATGGCAAGCACCGCCATCAAGCTGTTTATTACGTTTGCTACTATTCTTCTGGTTATTTGTGTATTACTATTGTTAATACCGTTATTACTATTACTAGTACTGTTGTTGTTATTGTTGTGAGTATCGCATGACTATGATTGTGATTGGTATCGTATATATGATTCAAAGAAGTACTAAGTAGTAGTAGTAGTCGTCGTCGTCGTCGTCGTAGTCGTCGTAGGCGAAGCCTTTGTCGTAGTCGTAGCAGCAGCAGCAGCAGCAGCAGCAGCAGCAGCAGCAGCAGCAGCAGCAGCAGCAGCAGCAGCAGCAGCAGCAGCAGCAGCAGCAGCAGCAGCACAGCAGCAGCAGTGAAAGTATGATTTGTCATTATGTCATTGTGGCTGTTGCATGGTGTCTCCGTTTTTGACGTGCAGTGGGTTTCGAGGCTACAGACGTACATGGTTGTCAATGCCGTCCGTCAGGCGCAGCCCTCGGCTCGGCGCGCTGGCTTTGGCAGGGCAAGGCAAGTAACGCGCTGGGAGTTGGCCAAATGGCGGGCTTTGCCCTGGTCATACTGTAGTGCTTAAGGTGGCTATTTGAGGATGTGCAAAACCCGTTTGGTGACGGCATGGAAGCGAAACTTGGAAACCAGTCATCTGAAGAGGCGTCTTGTTTATTGACACGTGGCCCGTTTGTCTGACAAGTGGTGTGTGTGTGTGTGTGTGTGTGCCGGCAACAAGGCGACGGATGAAGTTGTTGGGATTTCGGCACTAGCTTTTGCTGCATGCAGGCCGCCTTTGGTTTGATTTCCACCTGCTGGCATGGACGGGAGGACGTGTCCTTCTGCGGCCGCCTGGTGCTGGGCGCCCTCATGTGCGAGACTTTCCAGCAGGTACGACTTACACGTTGACGGATCTACGTAGAACCCGTCCCATTGGGGTGTTCCCTCCGAAAGTGGTCGGAATCCAACCACTAAAAGGGGAAAAGCATCCCCCTATGAACATCAACCAGGGGATCTACTTAGATCCAGGGTTGACACGCGGACAACCCGAGGGAACTGCTTGGGCAAGTTGAGTCTCGAATTTTTCTGGAATCGGCAGGATGCGACTTGCGGGTCAGGCGTGCAATTTGATGGCCTCTCTTGCCTAATCATTCAATGGTGGTCCAGTCAATGGTTGGAATTCAATTGGAGTGTAGAGTCTGTGCGGGGGCCCCAGCGCGCAGGTGGTGCACAACAAGTTCTGCAACTTGCTTTTCCGCCTGTGCCTTAGCACCTCGACCCTTGCATCCATTGGGTCACATAATTGATACGCAGAGCACACTTGCGACTGCATGTCGAGCTGAAGTGGCTTCTCTATTTGCTGAAATCTCCAGACTGCCATGGTTCCCAACATCTAAAACGCAGGCAGGAGAGAAATCCAGGGCCACTCAAATGACGGACGTCTTTTGGACGCTGGAACGATCGTGATTGAGAAAGTTGAGAGCATGAAGTGCAGAGGCCAAAAAGTGACAAAGTCCTGTTGGACGGATGTTTTGAGCACATTTGGGTATGGGTCCAAATTAAACCACCAGGGGACCACTGGTTTTAGTCATTGTTTCCATTTACCAGGGTTCCATTTTGGGGTTACCCTATTTTTGACCCACAGGCATTTATCCAAATGTCCCGCTAAATGAGACTCAGGATGCAACTGCACCTGGGAGTGGGCTGGCGGCTGGGACAATTGCACCACGGCTGCAAGCTTCCCTTTGCTTGATGCCATGTCAAAAGACAGCACAGCTTCTGAAACGTGTTTTGGTTGATCGGAGATTTGACATTGAAAGGAGCAAGGCTGCTCCCCTGGATCACTGCCCTTTGAGCTTGTTCTCCCACAGCTCTTCTTTCCCACAAGGCAATGTGCACAACGCCACCGGCCCAAGATGTCCATGGTGCGCCTGGGGCCCTGGAAATGGTGCGGCTGCGAGAATTCGGCCAGACGGGCTTTGTTGTTTTGCAGCGGGGGGGGGGGGGGTAAAAGGGAACTCAAAAGGACACCGACACCGACCGTTTTAGACGTTCCCTTACGTTGGAACTAGATGCCGGAACCAAGTTTCAGCGCTTGCACTGTAGACTTAGCTGCCCAGGTTGCTCGTCAGTCCATTTCTTGGACAACGGACTGCTTGCCGCTGGCGCTCATGCTGCTGACCTTTGCAGAGGCATTGTCGATCTCAGAGAAGGTCCTTCTGCTCAAGTTAATTTTGCATGAAAAAACGGAGTGAGCAAAGTGCGCCCTTTCTGTTTGCTCTACGCTGCACTTGATTGAGCACTGGAAGAGACGTGCCTGTGTGTGTGTGTGCATGTGTGGTGCGAGTGCTTGAGCTGCATTGGATGGTGCTTGGCATTTGTGCAGGCTCCCAGGCCCTGAGCAAGACTCTGGGCCTGCCCGGCCAAAGGATCGAGTCAATCCGTCAACAACAGGCAACCACAAGGCTTGCTGTTTGGCAGGGCAGCTCATCCACAATGTTTTGCCTTGCTACAAGGATGCTGCTTGGTCACTCAATGATTGTCCCGTTCGCAAATGCTGTTCAAGGCACACCTTGGTTGTAAACGAAATCCATCACTGCTGAAGATATGTTTAGTTTTGCCAAGGGACTTAAGCAAATGGAGATGCAGCGTTTCTACTTGCCACTTCCCACCTGCAAGTCGCAGGCAAACTGCCGGGGCTGGCCCTGGCTCTTGCAGTTGCTGCTGCCTGTACTAAGCTTTCTGCTGCTGGGCCATTTGGCAAGGTGTGCATGTGGGCGGCTGGTATTGAGATGTCAGTTCCGCACTGAACCGCCAATTGGGAAGGGAAGCGCAGGGGACGTGCAAGTAAAGTAAAACAACCTATATGGGGTGTATTTTTTGTTTTGAGGGTACCCTTTTGGGGTTGGTTCAAAGGGAAACCAAAGGAACCTGAGCAGGTTGGGTCCAATTCCTTTGACATACCCATACTGACTACCGACCCCTGGTTGGAACCGCAGTGACAGCATGCATTCGCCCCCCTTAGTATGTTGGCCGCCAAGGCACCTTGGTCGCCCTCATCTTCAAGTTGACTAGCGGTTATCCTTACTTTATCACGGGGCCGGCACATGGCAAAGAAGCTGCCATTGCCAGCCCTATAATATTGCAACAATGAAAAGCTCATAGATTTGAAGGAACCATATACAGAGGGATATGTCAAGTTGCCGGTTGTTTGAATGTGAAAGCACATGTTCATATGGTAAAGCCCGCGGAGCCGAGCTGCAAGTGTTCCAACCTCAAAAAGCGCCATAGCTTGGCAGCCGCTTCCTGCAAAATGCCGCATGCAAAGATGTGGCGCAGTCGGCGAAAGGCATCGCATGCTGACCATGTTAATTCATGTGTGAAGTCAAGTTAGCTTGACTCGGGAACCAGCTAGCCAGCCAGTCAGCTAGTTAGCTGGCTGCTGAGGTTTGGCGATTGGATGCTATGGCATGCGTGCTAGCGGGTTTGGTAGCTATTTCGTTGGGCTAGTTCGCCGGCTGTGAGCCAGCTTGCTTCCCTTCGGATAGTTAATCAACAAGTTGATTGTCAGCCAATCTGCCAATTAGGTTTGCTGGTTCGCTAATTGTAGTTTGTTGACAAGTTAAATGGTAATTGAGCTAGTTTGCGAGCCAGCTTGGTTGTGTAGCTAGCGCGCGAGAGCAAGCTACTCAGCAAATCAGCTGCTTCAGTTAGCTAGCTAGCCGGTTCAAGGGCAAGCTAGACTTAGAAGGGGTAGCAGTTAGCTGGTTAGCTCGTGAGCTAGCTTGCTGCTTGGATACTTGGCGTTGTCAGCTGCGCGAGTTTGCGAGCCAGCTTGATAGTTAGGTTAGCTAGCTGGCTGGTTGGATCGTTGGGTAGCTAGGTATTGAGCTGGTGAGGTAGTTAACAAAGCAACTTACTTATTTCGCGGGCCGATGAAAAGCGCAAAAAACACTGAGTGTTTGAGTATCAACCCCGTGAAAG